CTTTTCATACATTATATCAATACATAGATGACATGCAAAGTATCTGATCAAGCAAATTTAATTATCTTAATGAGAGAGATTGAGAGATTCAAACAAGCCTACCACGCTAACGTCTAAATAAAATGCTACAAAATGGGGAGAGAGAGAGAGAGAGAGGATTCTTCCCCAGCTAGCTATCATGCACCTGCCCACTTGAACTATTCCCACTTCGATACACATCCGATTCCATTCATAACATAAATTGTTCATTGGTTTCTATATTTTGGGTTCTCTCAAAATTTAAGGCCCCTTTGACCCACTCGCAGAGGATTCTTCCCCAGCTAGCTATCATGCACCTGCCCACACGGGAAAGCGCCACATGTTCAATTTTCTGTTCTGACCGTCTGATTTCAATACCATTCCTCATCAGAGGGAATAGTAAGGCACATAGCCCAGAGAGCTCCTCATGTTGGTTACTACCTCATTACACTTTGTCAGAAGACTAAGCATCTTCTGTGCAATATCCATGTTGCTTGCCCTGGGCACCACCGGAGCCGGGGCCAGTGCCGGAGTAGTAAATGTGTTAAAATTATGAGAATTTCTTGGAAATTGGGCTGGAATTTGAAAATTTTTACTATTAAAATCTATTCCATTTGAAGAAGAAATTGTACCATCACCACCAAAACTAGCATTGAAGTTGATCTTATTACCAACCATCAAATTCTCTCCCCCACCACTACTTTCTCCCTTCACTGCAAATTTTACGCGAGGTGTCACTCTGCTGCCAGTGGGTCCTGCCTCATCGCCCATTGGTTTCTTCAGACACGACTTGAGCTGGATCAATGGCTGCTGTGCTGGTAGCGGTGGCTGTGGCCTCTGTTCGAATGAAGAATCGCGGGTTTCTATGTGGGCATCTTCTTTTTGGACCTTGCTTTCTGATTCGAGTGCCACTGAAGCCCCCAATAGCCGAATGTGGCATCTCACATTCACATTGCCGAATAGAGTATCGTTTCCAGCAAGATGCCTATGTGCTGCCTCAGCATCAACTCTGTGAATGAAGACGACACGGCATGTCGAGGACTGCCAGAAAATTCGGGTAGATGAATGATCAAGCGGCCCAAAACGAGCGAGCCTCGCCTTCAGCTCAGACCCAGATGGTAGTGTTGTCTCAGGAGGAAACTTCATCACCAGCATTGTAGGGTCGGGTGATTTTGCCGTGGACTCTGTTTTCCTGGCCAAATCTGGTTTGAGGGGTTTCCAGTGAGAGCCAAAGTTTCTTTGCCATCTTTTTGAGCAGTTTTTTTTTCTGCTGCCAGAGACTTCATGTCATTAATTTTCTTCACCCTCTTCGCAGTCAATTCTTCTTGGCGATCGGACGGGCCACGTTTCCGGCCTCCTTTTGTCAGATCACTGGGTCTGAAAAGAGGTTTCGGGGGTTTCAAAGATGGCAAAACTTTGATGATCTCATGGGGAGGATAATCAGAACCAATCTCATCCACTGGGATTGACAGGGCCAAGCTCTTTTGGTAAACAACTGACCGAAATTTCAAAAAGGCCCGCTGTATAGTTTCAGAACCGTTCATCTCCACACCATGGAACGGATCGAGGGCAATAGCTTTCAAATCACCCAGTAAATGTGAAAGCTTGATCTCAATATTTCCTATCCCATCCGTTGGCTGCGTTCTAAGAGAATCAGGCAACAATGTACTACTGGCGCCATCATCTTTCCTCCGATGCTCAATTTGAAAATCATCTCTCGGAGGCAGACCAACATGGACCGATTTTTCTGTTACTCTTCCAATCGATGCACCAACTTTTCCAGTAGCAGCCCGCATCTGCATACGATCAGAGCTCATTTCCAAGTCCATTTCTTTCTTTCTCTTCTTCTTCTTCTTCTTCTTCTCCCCAGAGACTGATTTTTCAGCACCCAGTTCCCGAACGGGATGTTTAAAAAGCTTGGCCTTCTTTGCCTCCGTGTCAATAAGATTTCTTGAATCCAAACCGTGAAACTTAGTTTCAATTGTTGGCAAAACATGTCCACCATTACCACCGATGTGAACTTGTTCCTGTTCATGCACTTCTTCAACTATAGCTGGTAAACTTGGAGGTTGCTGGAAGCCTTCATACAATTTCAACGGAGTTGCACTCTGATGATAATGTTCCAAGTTAATTGTCGCATCACCTTCTGGCTCCGAAGTAAGAAGCACATGATCTATTCCGGAATGGAATGTCCCTTTCCCTGACAAACCAGAAGCATTCATGACTCTGGGGTCTGCTAATGCTACAACTTTCTCACCAGTTGCATCTTGACTTGAAACTGAACCGCCATCCATTCCAATTGCTACCATCTGCTCAAGTTTTGCTCGAGTCTGCTGCTTCACAGAGGGTGCTGGAGCCCTCTTTTGCAACACATAATCCCCAGCTGCTAATTCCACAGAGCCCACTACATAAGCCGGCTGCGTAGAGGAAGTTGTTTGTCCCATTTGCTGGATTTTCAACTCATTTGACTCATCTCTCCGTTTAAAAAGGTATTTATCCTTGGTTGGTTGGTCCTTTGCTTTATTAGGTTTTGAAGTGTTCTTCTTCTTACCCAAAGCTTCTGCAAAAACCATTGGGCCACTCAACGGAGCTGCGAAAATGACAGAGACATAATAAGATGAACAAGTTTAATTTGTAAGCCAACACATGATACAAATTGGATTTAAGAAACAAACTCGAGTATTAAAGGATGCATAAATTACATCCAACAGCAAGAAGTGCTGAACTTGGAGATCTGCAGAATTAAGAGTTCTACTTGAGATTATGCTACCATCCTGTAGAAAGACTGAATTTTTGAACTTGATAACATGTTTTAGCAAAAGCAGAAACCAAATGGATGAGAAAGCCTGATTAGTTAAAGAAAGAGGACCAAATTACAAGCATAGCAACTAAGATTTGGCTGACGAGCCAGGGGAAGAATATTGGGTAATTTGGCATGACTTGACTGTTCAAAACAATGTTTCGAAACACGGACCGTTGAGCAAATTGAAAAAGGAGCAGGGTCAAGGGTCACTGGTTCAACCGGAATCGAACTGTGACAAATATATTAAAAATTATAGATAAAACTATATTAAAAATTAAGCTACGTTAAGTAGAGAGTGCGCGTATATCGAACTATAACATCATAATTACATCATAAATATATAAAAAATTACACATAAAACTATAAAAAAACAAGTATTAAGCTACGCTAAAAATGGAGTGCGCGCGCATGTTTATACTTTAAGATATATATTTACATAAATATATCATTTAAATTGTTTTTATATTGATTGTTTGTTTAAAAAAGTAATTTTACATTGTGTTCAGAAAAAAAATGAATGTACTAAATAATAAATGTTTACTTAATAATCAGCAGCAGGTAAAGTGTTACAGTGGCTGCAGCTCCACATTCGTGGACAAATGGTCTCAAGTTTGAGGCTTAGAACCCCACATTCTTGTCTGCAGCCTTTGATTTTTAAAGGGGAAGATCCAGCCAGTTTTGCAAACCAGCCAACGGTTCGAGTAGGTTTCCGGCTCAACTGCGGTTCTCAACAGTACTTCAAGATTAAGCCGGTTTTCCATCCAGATCGGGTTCGATAGTTCATCCGGACCAGAACCTAAACGGGTCAACCAGTCGAACCAACCAGTCCGATCTAGTTTTAATAACATTGGTTAAAAATTATAATTAAGAAAAAGAAAAATTAAAACCACTCAAGACTACGATCTCGAGGATTATTTTGTATAACTAGTGTCACCAATGAGCAGAAAGGGAAAAGAAAGTAATCTTCAGAAGTGGATCTTTAATCCAGCATAGAACACAAACAGAAGTTTAACTGCAAAAGCTACCAATACCCATTTTTTTGAGAAAGGCACAAATACCAAAAACATTTTATTTAATCACATTTTAACCATTAAACAAGAATCTGATTCAGCCCAAAAATTAGTTGCACGAAAAGTCTAACGTTGAGAGTACCCAAGGGACGTTTATGTATTTTACATATAAATATATTGTAATAAATATATATATTTTTTTTGATAAATAAAATTTATTAAAAAGAGCATCAAGGAGATGTTAAAGAATACATATTGTAAGTAATAATTGTGTTCCTTAATTGTAATATATATGTGAAATCATAAATGTCTACATTACACAACTGCATTTGTCGTTAAACAAAAACATAGTAAATTCTCATAACATCTCATCACCAATAAACATATATTTTACTCCCCAATCACATAACCCAATTTGAAGGATCTATTAAAATGCAATTCTGACAAAATTCTTGGCCAAGCTCTACTCTATAACTGGTCTAAACGTGTGCAAGTATTGTAATTACTGAGTAGACGATCTACTGCTACTTTAATACCATGTTAAATTGTTGACCACCATCTCATCTAAAATATAAAAGCTTAAGCAATTACAGATAGGTGTAATTTTATTATTTATATCCTCAATGAAAAAAAGCCTATATATGTCCACTACTTTTATCGACTCTCCAAATCTTGCACACTTATGTTTATGTTGTCTTTCTAAATGTGCAAAAGAACAACATTATGGTAAACCTCGAGTACCCAATAAAAACAGTAACCAACAAGTCATGTAAAGAGCAAATAACAAAATACCTCTGACAGTCTGAGCCACAGCTTTCATTGGTTCACGACAAGGGCGTACGGGCTGTGCCCCAAATGCTTGAGCATAGGTCTCATCAAACTCCTCAAACACTGCTTTTCGATAAGCCAAAGCAACAGTCTTATTCATAATAAAATCAAGACCACTGCACTCATCACTAGTAGGCATCAATGCCAACTGCTTCATAAAAGCGAGAGTATCTTTAGGGCGAAAACTCTCTCTCGCTCTACCAATCTGGCTCACAGGGTAAACCACTTCAGGCTCATGGTCACTCAAATCAACAGCAAAGTAACCTTCAACCTCAGTTGGCCGAAAATTAAACGGGTTCCTGCACCGACAAGCCAAAGCCAGACAACGAATCCGGCTTGCCTCAATTGCTTCTTCCACAGCCTTAATAAATGTTCTTGAATTTGTCTGCCTCAACTTCACAGAGAAATTAGCATCAAATGGGATGAGCTCCGCTGGATCAAACCATCCATAACTACTATCACCAAAGAAAGCAACCAACACATGGCCCGGTCTCTTTGACCTACGAACCAAAGGTGATGCAAATGCTTCATTATATATATGGCCTGGCCACCACGGGTGTGATTTTACCTTCCCCCAAACCATATCCCCTATTTCATATCCATAACCCACAGAACTTGACTGTCCAGCCCCTATGGCTTTACACTTCTCATTTGCTGCAAATTCATCAGACATCGAAATCTTCAAATCACTCTGAGAAACACTATGCGCCTTCCCCAACCCACCATTCCTGGTATCACATTTTAGGTCATTTGCTCTAGGAGACAATTCTACAAACACCTTTTCCGCAGAATTGACCACAGTTTCCTCAACCCTGGACGTCCATTGCTCGGACCCACTGTTCTTAACAACCATTTTATTGTCATTCACCATCTGTATCACGTCTTCATTTCGAATATCAGAAGCACGAGATTTCATTTCCTCATCAACCCCTTTCCAATCAACCAACGAAACCCTAGTTTCCTCGGATTCACTATTATCTCCAACCGAAACCCTACCATCAACATCACTTTCCGGAGCTCGATTCTCCAGCTCCGTTGAAATTCTGTTTTCTTCAAACCCTATTAAATCAACAGACTTATCACCGTCATTTGCACCATTGATCTCTTTCTCAAAACTACCAACGATACCAGCTCGAGAATCAGAGCTAACAACACAAGCGTTTCCTGAAACCCTAGCAATTGACTGAGACTCGTCTCCGATTAAATCAGTCTTTCGATCTAACTCGATATTGTTATTGTTCATCACGTTCGAAACCCTAGAAATTGAGTTCTTGAGGGTTTGGATATCAAAAAAAACAAATACCTTATATTACTGTAGAGGTTGATAAATCAGCAAAATGAAGCGCCTTCAGGCGTTTGGATTCCAGGAAAACGCGAGAAACGGCGAGAAATTTGTGAAGAGCTTCGGGGTTTGGAGATTACAGAGTGGATCACTGGGTGAAGAATTTTATTAGCTTCTGCTGCAACTTGGGCGCCCCAACCCGAGAAATCCGAATTCAGTTTGAATTTTTTTAAGGCTGGGATAAAATATTTTCTAATTTGGAACGGATTTGAATAAAAATTTAAAAGTTTGAATTAAATGTGGATGGGTTTGGGTAAAGTCGTCAAACAATTCGAGCAATCTGAAGTTCGAATTATACATATATAAATATATAAAAATATTAAATATAAATAATTTAAATTATTAAATCATATTGAATATATTATTATATATACGAATAAAATAAAATCTTTTTTTTTTACTCATAAATTGTAAGAATTACTACAGCGGCATCTCTCTTACATTATATAAATTATTTATTTTGGTGATATTACTTATTTTCTATATAAAAAAATTTAAATATAGTCAAATTTAAATAATTTAATAATGTAGCTGGAAAAAAAAAATTGAAATTCATTTACAACTCAGGCAATTCGGGCAACTCGGACATTTCGGGTTCAACTCGGGTCGGCCTTGGACAGGCAACCTCGGGTTACAATTCGGACTTGCACAGGTCTTAGCAAGTCTCAGCACAACTTAAGTTCGGCATGGACAACCTCCCAACCGGATCAAACCCGCCCGAGTTGCACCCCTAGCTCTGGAATTTGCGGTTTAATTTTTCCATTTTTCGTACGATTTTGTAAGATTACGATTCTTATGTGCCACATCACTGAACAGTGGCACACGCGTCATTTACCTTGAAATTGTAATTTCTGTTGGGCATGTATCAAATTTTTTTTTTTAATATCAAGTATCCAAATGGAGAATTTTGTAACTTTATCAAATCATTGGTTGACTAGCTAGTAGAATTTTTTCACAAATTTTTACCTTGATATTGTTATCCAGGAACATTTGGTGGTAAAAATCCAATGATAATGAATAGTGATTTAATGAAAAACACATTAGCCATCAGTTTGATAAAAAAATATGAAATCTTAGATTTGATGAACTATTAAAGGAAGAAAAAGTAATTTTTTTCATTAAATTTAAATTTAATGATAGATATGAACCATTAAAAATGATCTCATTGATCAGATTTGAGACGAGTTTGTAATTTCTTGCTTCGTCTCATATTAGAGACAAATCGAATGTATGAAAGAATGGGGACATGATAATTGTATAACTTTAAAAGATATAAATATTAATAAAAAGTATATATAATATGGAGAAATTATTGGAAAATCCCATTTGGGAGAGTTTTAGGCCATTTAGTCCTATTTTTAAAATAATACACGTGGGAGTCCTCTTTTTGTGCGCATTGTGTTCAGCATGATCCATTTCAGTTTTGTGGGTTGGTATTTCTGACATTTGTACCTTTTTATATTTGGTATTTGAAAACGTTTTTGGGAGGGTTTGATATGAATCCCTTTGATTACGTTGGTTTTGGTGTCAACGTTATGGAAGATCATATATTAGCAGATTTATAGGGATTGCAAGGTTCATCAATATTCGAATACTGCGCGGAGGAAGGGTGAGACAAGTTATTCGAAGGGTGGTTTTAGTTTTGTGTTGAGTGTAGCATTTTTTGAGTTCGTTGACGGTAATGTATTTGTTATTTTTTTTTCTTTTGTTTTTGATTGTTAGGGAGGGGGATGTGGGATGTTTGATTATCATGTGCGCGACATCCACATCATCCTGATTACTGTTTCGTTTGATACGCTCCGGCGGGAAGTATAGTAATGGTATACGTGTGATGCATACTTGATGAACATGAGTTGCATTGTTAATTTTTTTTTTTTCTTGTTTTCGTGTAGGAATGGGTGACTGTATGATGTTGTTGTGTCCGTGCAAGAATAACAACATTGTTGTTATGGTGCGTACTAATTTCACATTTACCAGATTGACCACTTATGTGTGCGAATGTTTCTCAAAATGGAGAGCGAGGCAGACTTTGAAAACATGTTGTGTCTTGCCAAGTCATTTCGGCTAGATCACATCAAAGTCGATGTAGTAGTCCGTGGTGCAGCTCGGGGTGTCAAATGTGGAGGTAGTTTGGCACATGGGCATGATGACACAGGTGTTGACGTCGGGGAAATGGTCACAAATATTGATGAGAAGGCTGATTTGTTACCAGATTTTTGCCAACATGCTGGCAAGGTGTTGTTGTCTGCGGATTGGGTGGGTGGCATAACTCATATCGAGCAATGTTTTGAGGGTACACTATCAAATGTGGGTTTCAATTTAGGTTCAGAAAGAATGACTCGGTTCGTATTACAGCGAAATGCATGTTTAGTGAGTCAAGGGGTGTTTGTGGTCCATCCATGCGAGGGTGTTAAATGTGAATAGGTATTTTTATCTGAAGAAGTGGTGTCGGGACCACATGTATGGGGTCGCTATGCGTACTAACAAAAACCTGAGGATGGGGTCCGAGCTTGTTGCAGATGTTGTTGCGGAACGTGTGCATGATAAATCATTAACTCGCCCTACCAATGTTAAATATGATTTCAAAAAAGTATACGGGTTGCAAATTAGTTACCGTGTAGCTTGGTTGGGGGTTGAAAAGGCCAGAGGAGAACTTTATGGTGATCATTCCATATCATTTAACCAGTTGCGTTGGTACAATAATGCCGTTATGGAATATAACCCGGAAGTTATACTAATCTTGACTTCGATGAACACAATACACGTCGGTTTAATAGGTTGTTCATATCATTCAAAGCATACATGTATGGGTTTAACCACTGTCGTCCGTTATTGCTTCTCGATGGTACTTTTCTAAAAGGTTGATTTAAAGGCAACCTGCCTGCGGCTACTAGAAAAGATGGCAATCAAGGTAATGTTCTTTATAATTGTTTTGCATGTCATGGTTGTGTTTGATTATACGCACATTGGAGTGTTATACACACAGTGGTAGATATTGGGAGTTACCAACTTTTTTTTTTTTTTTTGGGCTTGTTTTCAAGTCTATTCCCAGTGGCTTTTGCGATCATTGATTCTGAAAATGTAGCAAATTGGGCTTGGTTCTTACAAAATCTGGCTAATATAGTTGATGGGGATTGGAACTTGACATTTGTTTCCAATCGGCATGTCGGTATCATTGAATCTTTGCCTACTATTTTCCTGTCTGCCCACCACGCTTTTTGTATGCAACATTTACAGAGGAATTTGAAGGATAAGATGAAATATGTGAACAAATTGTACCGTATTGGGTTGGTAAGTAAAATGTAGGAATGTGCATATGTACCAACCGTTGCTGACTTTAATGAAAAAATAGAGGCGTTCATTAAGTCCAGGAGGCACATCACTGTCAATTTCTTACAAGATCTAAAGTCGCACCACTAGGCGAACGCGTACTTCAAGTAACGGAACACGTAAACAACTTCATTTAATTTTCCCTCCCACCATGTTCATGACTTATTATTCCCCGTTTGACATCGAACATTACATATCACAAACCGCACACATTTGCAAGGGCAACCGTTATGGTAAGATGCGTTCGAACGCTGCAGAATCATTTAACAATTGGATAAAGGAAACACGCCATCTACCAATCACCCGAATGGTTAACGCAATTAGGACAGATTTTGAATCAGGTGTCGGACCGTAGGGGAGCGTCAAGTTCGTGAGCTGGTATAATATGTCCGAAGATGGAGTACAGACTCAAAATGTTGTAAAAGAAAGGAAGATCATGGACTGTTAGTCAATCTACCCTGTTCTGGTGGACATTGGTAGGCGTACATGCTCATGTTTCTAATAGCAGATCAACGAGCTCCCGTGCGAACATGCAGTGGTGGCTATTTGTAACTGCGACAGTGATTTGAATGTGTTGGTTAACCCTTATTTGCACGTCACCAACTATCAATCATCATACTCCCAAGCCATATTTCCGACACCAACAGTTGAGAAACCACAGGTTACTACCTCCGAGTGTGCGGCGACCACCCGGTAGACCAAAGAAAAAGACGATACCGTCGAAAAGTGAAGAAGTACAACAAATCTGGTGTGGCCGTTGCGAGCAATTAGGGAATCATAACAGGAAAACATGCAATGAACCATTATAACATCACAAATTGTGCGGCAAAATGTTTAAGTTAACCCATTCCACAATGCTTTTATTTTTTCTTTTTAATTTCCTTCATTACCAATAATATATGTTAGTTTGTTTTCAATTTGACGTGCAAAATAAATAAAGGTAGTTCGATTCATGGTTGGTGTTATGTTTTAATGTTGGGATACCTACCTATTCCATAAGGTTGTTACGTTTTCGTCTACTTTCCGTCCTTACGAAAAATATGTGTTAGTTCGTTTTCAATTTGACGTATTTTTTCTTTTAATTTCCGTCATTACCAATAATTTGTGTTAGTTTATTTTCAATTTGACGTGCATAATTAATTTGGGTAGTTCGATTCATGGTTGGTGTTATGTTCCAATGTTGGGATACTTACGCATTCCAGAGGGTTGTTATGTTTTTGTCTACCTTCTGTCTTTACCAAAAATATGTGTTAGTTCGTTTTCAATTTAATGTGCAAAATGAAATGTGCTTGGTCGATTCACCGTTGGTGTTATGTTTTGATGTTGGAATACATACCCATTTCACAAGACTGTTACGTTTTCTTTTAATTTCCCTCGTCAGCAGACATATGTTTTAGTTTGGTTTCAATGTGACGTGCAACACAAATTTGGATAGTTCGATTCACCGTTGGTGTTTATGTTTTCGATGTTGGAGTACCTACCCATTCCACAAGGCTATCATGTTTTCGTTTAATTCCAGTCAATACCAATCATATGTTTTAGTTCATTTTCAATTTGACGTGTAGCGTAAATTACGCTATCCCAGTTCACGGTCAGTGTTATGTCTTCTGTCGGTACCAATAATATGTGTTAGTTCATTTTCAAATTGACGTGCAGAATTAATTTGGATAGGTTGCGTCACATTTGGTGTGACGTTCTATTGTTGGAATACATTTTCCCTAATTCTATAATAAATTACGTTTTATAGAATATGTGACTTGTGCCATAACACCAAAATTATAACAATCCCACACATTGAACTTTACCCAAAATGTAGCACCCA